GGGAAGAAAAGGAGAGTGAAAAAATCACGGATACTGTTAATATAAGCAAAGATGCCGTAAACAACCAATACCAAAGAGGAGGATTATGAGTGAACTTGAGCATAAACATAAACATAGATTAGCACCACTGAAAACAAACCATATAAGTTTACATGACGATGTGATATCAGGTGGTAGCTTAAAAGGAGAATTCAGTTGGAACTCGGTATTGGATAACGAAATTGAAGTTGATGGGATTAAAATTAAAACTGAGGCTATTCTTGATGATGATGATGAAACATTTGGAGAAGAGTCACCTCTTTTAGATCTCAGTCCACCACATTCAAGTGATGGCACCTTTGACGATGTCTTTATCCCAGATAACCCACTAGATTTGACCGTCCGAGGGTTTCATATTTCACCTCCAGAATGGTTTGAAGATCATCTGTACTCGGTTGATGACATTGTTCCGAACACAGCTGCTATTAACTACTTTGAAGAGAATCTACTTGATGATCTGCCACCATCCCCTGCCAATTCTATTGGTGAACAGGCTCATCCATGGGCGGAAAAAGACTCTGGTTGCTTTGACCTTGATAACTTGTTGGATTTTGACAATGTTGCAGACTCTCCTCTCATGTAAAAATTAACAATTAAGACTTATTATGAAAATACCGTCCAAATATTTTACTCAAAAGTCAAGGTTCAAGTAAGAATTGTGGTATCAACGGGTAAATGCAGGACCAAAGATGGGGAAACTAACAGCTTCAGGTGTGCTGTAAAAAAAACAACTTTTGTTTAAAACTCTGAGTGGCAACAGTATCCCAACATTGAATTGCATTTAATGTCCTGGGCTCAACATTTTAAATGTTGTTGAAATCTAAATTCATTGAACTAATGTGTGAATAAACCCAGTGTAAATATTAAAGGGCTTGGCTTGTCAGCCCTAAGTTTATGAGTGAGCTATAAAACAAGTTGTAACTTGTTTTTGTGAAGTTCGTTTTTTTTTGTTTTTTTTTTACCAGAGGAAGGTTTTCCAAGGTACAATTGGAGTAAGTTAAAAACTAAGACAAATTTACAAAATTATGGATAACTAAATGCACATTGGTTTTAAAAAATGTTGTCTTTCCAATGTGTTGATAATGTAATTTAAAGTTAAAAAAAAATAATAAAAACATTATTTATATTGTGTAGTAAATGAACATGCAGGTTCAAGTTCACTATTATGTTGATAAATTTATAGAGAATTATAAATATACAAGTACTATTCCAAGAGAATGTACAATAGTAGATTTCTAGTGTATCAAGTGAACAGGTGTCTGAACAAAAATGAAATTATGTTCCTATGAAGAGTGAAAGTCAAATGAAACTAGTTAACTAGTTCTCGTCCATTAAATATACATTACTTCAAGTGAAATGCTCATTACTGAATGGGTTGACTAAAATTAAGAAACAAGGTATATTTAGTGGGATTAAATTGTAAATAAAAGAATTCCGTCCATTTTTCATGACGATAAAGAGAAATTTCCAGTTGTTCAGAGTTCCACTATGAAAGTTTTCAGATAGCAAAAAGAGTGATATATTTTTCTATTAATATTAATAATGGTTAGTTGACACTGAGTTACAATCTTTTCTTTGCTTGGTTTGCATTCTAATCCCTTAACTGTGGCACTTATCTTGTTTTAAAATTAGCACAAAGTAAATGGCTTGGTAATTATTATAAATGTTGGACACTTTCCAACATGCTGTATTTGATAAAATCTGTAATTTAAAAAGCATTTCTTCTTAACAGATTGCTACCTATTGAAAAACAGTTTAAATATGTATTCAAAATAGTACATTTTTGTGACCGTCCTTCGTTATGTAGTAGTGAAAGCAATTATCCTGTCTGAACCATGAATTATTTTTCTCAATGTAAAAATGGTACAGGTCAAGTAATGACTTCACAGTTCGGCAATCTCAGCTGTCAGGAGTTTTAAATTGCAGTGTTGTTTCATTTCATAACACAAACAGTTATAAATAGGGAAAAAGACAAAAGATGTAACATGTTAAGAGTGAAAGTAGAAACGTGCAACCCAAAATCAATATTTGAACAGAGAAAAAATGTGGATTGTAATTTATTTACGCCGATTCAATAGCGTATTGATTGGCAAATGCATAACTTTTAAAAAGACTTGCAGTTAAATGACTCTCTATAAACATGTGCATTGTCCCCTGTTAAGTATTGTGATGTATATTAGGTTAGGTATTGTATGAGCAGCATATTCATGAAGACTTGTATTTTTTTGTTATGCAAATTTAAGCTCAGTGCTGGAATGTGAACAAGCTCCAGGGCTGTCCTTATTTTGCACGTATTCCAACTCTTGGTGCAATGAGCCCAGACATTTGTAAAGATCGAACTGAACACATTTTAGAAATATTATTTGTTCACATTGTAGTCACCATTAACGGTTAAAGCAAACCATGCTTTGAAAAAAAAGTGTCCTTACTGAAATACATTATGCCTATTCTGTATGGATGAAGGTGTTACAATACCAAAAATAATTCTGTATTGTTTTGTATATCTCAAAATATGGATTGTATAGTAAATTAATAATACAAATGATTATTTATACTGAAATGTTACTTTTCTCTTGTGCAGATTGTCTGGCAATACTGTTTTTTTTTTAAAGTGTTTATGTTCCCTAAAATAATTGTTGGTTTGCTGTTATTGACAGGATTATTGTCCTCAGGACATGCATTCAGGATGTGGTTTGCAGTGTTCAAGACTGAATAAAGAGTGAAACAAAAAATTACATATTGCTTTTCTGGAATCGTTACTCATGTGTTTGCGTTAGTGAATAATATTGATCAACCCCCACCCCCTCTCTCCCTCACAACCTGTATTTCTTTCCCCCATCACAATGATCCATATCTTATCTTGTTTTAGCACGACTGCCTCTAATCTATACATATTGTCACTCTGTGGATGACTGTGTTAAATTGAAATCAAGTTGTGTTACAGGTTACAATAATATTTCCCAGTGTCCACCGCCTTGCATAGTTTAATCACTGTGTGTGCTATTTGTTTTGACGATCATGACTAAAATGCTGTACCATATATTACCCAGGACATGCTTCAAGTTGCTTTTTTTTTTTTATTAGTCAGTCTACTTAATATTAAGTATACTGCTATTTGAAAACATATAATGTCAGTTCAACACAAAATTTCAGTAACATTTTATTCTATATCCGGGTGAACAATGCCAGATAACCATCTGCTACTGATTGTTTGTTGATTTTTCTTGTTGCTTAGCAGTATGTACTTTGAAAACAGTGACTTGGAAACATTGGCTGTGACTAATAACTACGGTATGTACAAAAAGATTAGGAGATAGTTCAAATAATAAACAAAGGCAATGAAATCTTGAACTACTGTAAAAAGGTTAATTATTCACTGGGTTATAATTTTGTTCAATTCTCCGACTGGAAAATGAACTAAATTAAAACCCAATGAATATGTAAAATTGAGCATAGAACACATTATCTAAATGATAAAACCGTGAATTTAAAACCCACTGAATATGCCTGAAATGGTAAATCAGTGAAATTTAAACCCACTGAAAATTAGTCATTTTACAGTACTACCTATAAGGACTGCATAGAGAAATAGAAAATAATTGGAATCAATATCAGACATGTTTTCATGTACTTCAAAATTAGGAAGGATAATATAGACATATATTCCTACAACAGATATCCATGTACTTTGACGTTATATGAGCACTACCTCCCTGTCAGCTGGCATACAATTGATAATAAAATAAATATGACTAATTTACCAATATTCACTATTATGGGGGAAGCCATCTTGAATCTGGCCTAAATCTAAGGGCAAATATCAGTAAATTATAGTCAATTTTTTATTATCATTTGTATGCCAGCTGACTGTGAACTACCTTATTTCAGAGATTGCCTCCTATCAATATCTCTATTGTTGAATTTGCTAGGAATGTACTCTGAATTAACCCCTGCAGTCCACAGTATAGAACTTAATTTGAGTCACACTAGTCACACTGACAATCTCAACAAGGTTCATTTTAATGAGTTCGCAAATTATTTTATATTATTTTATATTATACTACCTTTTATAACAGTACAGGCCTCTCCAAAAATTAATAAATGAAATATCTATATTGGTTTGGTTTCACCCATGAAAAAAAACAAAAACACCTTAAATAAATAATTAAATATACATGGAAGGCAAGGACAGAATATAAACGTATCTTGTAGGAGTCGTGACTGATATAATTAACACTAAGCAGATAAGAGTCACTACACAACACTGGAACCTCTGGGCAATTAATCAAAATATACTTGAAAGATACTTCCTTCAAATATAAAATGAAAGAAAAAAAAATGTATTAATAAAAGCAGTTTATTTACACAATTATTGTTTGAATGAAAATTAAAGTTTTAAAATTATGCATATTTGTTTAATTTACAACATTAAACAAGAAATATGATCTAGGTAAGTGAGGTAAATCATATGATCTAAGTGAGGTAAATCATGTAACATGGCACATACAGGCACTATGTTGTACATACAGCATTGTGGACTATTCTGTATGTGATTCTAAACGTAATTAGTCTCAAGGAGCACTAAATCAAAGTGGAATTGATGTACAGGTCGTGTCATGACAACACAAATAAATCAAATGTCAGACATCCAAAAATCACTCAAAGTATAAAGACATGTGAAATATTCATTGATTATAAATTTTGATATTTCCACAAACAAATTAAAATTTTGTACAAGTCAGCAAATCCCAAAAAAAAAATCTGATCCAAATTTCTGTGATTGATTATATGTGAAAGTTGTGTTGTGGTCTGCTCAGTGGAGCATTACCAGTCACATTTAAGGATCAACATCATAATCCTCATGCATGTTGAAGAGCTTATGAAGTAAAGAGGTCATTGACTTTGACATTGAGAATACCTGTTTAATGCCTGACAGACAGACAGACCAGTAAAGAGCATTTTCTCCATGCAATCATAACGGTAGAGTGATTAATTCCTATTCATTATGCTTTATTTATCAAAATTAAATATTAAGCTTTGCAGGCTCCCAGTGTTGAAGGATATAATTATGGAATGATATCAAATAAAAAGCAACATTTTTCTTTTTTTCTAATCTAAATGCATGTTATTGGTTGGTATAGTTGCCTGACCCGTGCACTCATATTTAAATTAATGTTGCTACATTCTAGAGAAATGGACTATACATGACCAGTGTGATATTGAAAGGTTTCACCCAATACCAGATTATAGGATGCCACGATATAAATGATCAATGTCTATTTATAATTAGGATTTTTTTTTCATAATGTCAGGTACATCATGATAACTTATACTCTACAACTATCTTGGGAGACACAGAACTGCATGTTTCCAGGTTTTATCTTATAATATACTGTGCATGTCTCCCCCACATTTCTATTTGAACCCAAGAGAGAATCTGGCGCCAAATCAAATATTAAAATTAACAATTTATACAGGATTAGTAATTCATTAAAGGTATTTCTATGCAGTTAGTTGATGTGGACAAAATTAGAAAAAATAGTCCAA